CGCACACATCGTCTTCGTTCTCTCTCTATGTCGAGCGCGGATATATCAACGATGGTCTTAATAAGATATTGGGTGGAGCCATTTGTCTGTGGATGGTAGGGGGTGGTGCGGTGGGGACTTGTCTCGTTGCACCTCAGGATCGCCTGGGTTTGGTCTGCCGTAAAGGCTGTACGCTCTATCAATAATGACGACCTGTGGAGCTCCATGATGCAGAACAATGTTCTCGACGAAGAACCTTGCTACTTCAGAGGCACCGCCTTTGGGGAAAACCTCTGTTTCTGCGTAGCGTATGAGGTAGTCACTAGCTACGACGATCCATTTGTTCCTGGAATTCGACGTCGGGAACGGCCCCAGTAAGTCCATGCCGATTTGATGGAACGGCAGGCGAGGTGGCTCGATGGGCTGGAGAAGTCCGGCTGGCCTAGTCGGCGGTGTCTTTCGTCACTGGCAGTCGCAGCAGGTCCTGACGTAGCGAGAAACGTCAGCGGCTAAGTCGTGGCCAATAGTAAATTTCTTGTATTCTTGCGAGCGTACGGGAAACCGCGAGGTGTCCAGCATAGGGTCGTCGTGTAGGGTCTTGAGTACTTCTGGTTTCGCAGCTGAAAAAACTACGAGAAGATGGTCGGCTCGAAGGGGCGAGAAGTTCTTTGAGAAAACTATGTTTCGCAAAAAGATCTACTCCAGTCCTCTCATGAAAACAGTGGAAACAGTCATGCTGCTACTCTCGAGGTAGTCCACAAAGCTTCTGAGTTCCGGGTCAGCTCGCTGTCGCTCGGTGAAGTCGTCGACAGTTATAGTTCCTTAAAGCTGTCGTCATCCAGGCCGTCGGGCAGTGGTGGTTCGATGGGGGCACGACACAAGAAGTCCACGTGAGAGTGTGTTCTTCAAGACTTGTAAACGCTGGTCACGCCAAATGTTTAAGTCCGAGGCTCCATCGTGTGAGGCGACCCAAAGGGTCCTTCAAATTAACTAGCCACCGCACGCCGTGGTGGTCGCTCACAGCTTTGAAAGGCCTGCAGTGCAGGTAGAGGCGAAACTTCGATGCGGCGCCCAGATGATGGCTAGGCACTCCTTTTCTGTTGTGGAACAGTTGGCCTCAGCCTTGGATAGCGACCGGATAGCATGACTGATGACCATTTTCGTGCCACCAGTCTTTGCACAAGGACGGCGCTGAGTCCTACGCTGCTTGCGTCGGTTTGTACTTCTGTTTCGGCGTATTCGTTCAAATACGCAAGTATTGGTGGTGTTTGAAGGCGACGTTTCATTTCCTGAAATGCTTCCTCTCGTTCCACTTCCCACCCAAATTCGACGTCGCTTTTCGTGAGGTGAGCTAGCGGCTTGGCGATCAGTGAAAAATGTTTTACGAAACACCTGTATTAGGCGCACAATCCGAGGGATCGGCGTGCAGCCTTCTTGTTAGTGAGCTGCGGGATATCAGCGATGGCGGATGTTTTCCGCGGGTCGGGACGGACTCCATACTTGCTTATCACGTATCCCAGGAACAACAGCTCCTCGTACGCGAAGCGGCACTTTTCTGGCTTCAGGGTGAGCCCGGAAGTCTTGATGATTTGAAGTACATCTTCAAGGGGCCGAAAAAGCTCGACGAAGCTAGAGGAAACCACGAAGACGTCGTCCGAGTAAACGAGACAAGTCTGCCTCTTGAATCCTGCCAGCACTGTGTTCGTAATGCACTGAAAAACCGCAGATGCCGAGCAAAGACCAAATGGCCAAAAAGGCCGTCTAGCGTTAAAGTGCAGTCTTTTTTCGGTCTCTCTCGTCTATTTCGATCTGCCTATAGCCTGTCTTGATTTCCATTGATGAAAACTATTTAGCTTTGTGGAGTCGATCAAGGGCTCATCTATTCGCGGTAGAAGGTACACGTCCTTTATTGTGGTTTTGTTCAGGTGGCGGTAATCGACGCAAAAACGTAGGGTCCCGTCCTTCCTCTTCCCTAATACCGCGGGTGACGCCCACGGACTCTTAGATGGCTGAATGATGTCTTCGCGTAGCACTTCGTCGACAGGTTTCTTCACGGCGTCGCATTCGCGCGTCGAGACTCAGTACGGGCTTTGTCTAACTGTTCGCGCATTTCTCTTCTGTTAGGATGCGATGTTTCGCGACTGGGGTTTGTCGAATTCGCAAAGATGACGAAAGGCGGTCCTTGAATTGCAAGGGCAGGGACATGAGCTGGTCTTGCTTGCACTCAGAAAGGCTCGGGTTGACATTTAAATCTGGTTCGGCACATGGATTCGTCGAAGCAGCATCGGCAGGATCGAAGAGGGTGAATAAATTGCTGGCCTCCATGAATTTGTCGATTTAGGCGACCGTCGTATCATGGTTGACTGAAGTTTGTCAGCACCACCTTTGCTTTGCCGTCACGCAGCTCAATTATGGATCGTGCAGCGCAAATCTGGCGGTTCAGAAGAAGGTGCTGATCGCCCTCGACGACGCCTTCAAAGTTTTCGGCTTTTTCAGTGCCAATGAAAACAACGACGCTGGAGAAATGCGGCACTGTGACCTGTTCTTCTGGCACATGCAATGCGGGATTCTTTGGCGTTGTAGGGGTCGGCCGCGTTCTGAGGTTAGTGTGATTGATTTACACATCAGGTCGATGACAGCACCGTTTAGACTTAGGAAGCTCATTTCATGTATTCCATCTCTGGAGCAATTTTCCAAGATTACAAAGCTTGCAGGATAAGTCTGGTTATTGATGGTGATTCTTGCTGTGCCGACCCCAGATGGCGTTATTAATTGACCTCCAGCGGTCCGTATTTCGGGGCCTTCCCATGCAGTCCTCACTTTTTTCAACCTCGTCGCGAAAGACCCACTGACGATAGAATAGACGGTTTCAGTATCGATGAGAGCAGTGATGAGGTGGCCGTCGTATATTAAAATTCCGTCGAGGTCGCTGGTTCATCGTCGTGCGTAGTAGTTGGGTCATGGCGTCTGGTTGCGGCTACGTCTATTTGCTCCGCTGCTTCCATGTTGCGTCTTGACGTCTTCTGCAGCTGCGAAAGTTCGACGTCAAGACCCTTTTTGTCCTGCGGCTGGTGCTTTCGACTTCGTGACGGCATCGTCGTTGTCGGCGGCGGAGGATCTTTGGTAGTTCGTCGTACAGCAAGAGCACCTCCACCGGTCGCTGCCCTCAGTTTTCTGAGTAACGGCTCGGAGATCGGTCCCGAACAGGGCAGGTGTACTGTCTGCGGTACGGCGAGGCGTAGCGGCCTGGCGACGGCGAACGATAAGGGCGTCGGGATGTCGACTGTGCTCCCGTGAGGTAGTCGGCTATGTCATGCGGTCGTTCACCCCGTTTTGGGCACGGCGCGTCGATGTCGAAGCCCCGTAGACTCATCTCTCAGTACTGGCGATAGCGGCAGGTGTGTCTGGCCTCGCCGCAGTGGTAGCAGAATGGGCGGTTGTCAGGTGCACACCAAACGTCAGTTTTTCTCGGTGCGCCACACTGGCCCGCAGGCGAACGGTAGGACGTCGGTGGTGTTGGCGGCGGCGGTGGTGTCTGGCGACGGAAGTGCGATGGGACGGCGTTCCGTCGTGAGCATGGAGGAGAGGCGTGATGGCGGACTGCAGCAGCATAGCTCATTACTTTCAGCTGCTGTTCTGAAGGCTAAGAAACGCCCAGCGATTGCTAGATCTCCTGGCGTACGACGTCCACGATGGTGTCCACGCGAGGCCGAGCTGAAAGAAGCATTCTTCACAGCTTTCTTTCACGATCGCTCGGATCGTCTCACGAGAGTCGGCAGTTCCTAGCGCTTGGATGTCGGCGTAACATGTAGACAAGAAGCTACGGTTGTAGTGGCGTGTGCGCATCTCAAGTATTTTCTATATCGTAGATGCTTCTGAAATGAATTCAGCGATTGTCATTGGGGGGTTCCTGATCATCCCAGCGAAGAGATCTTGCTCGACTCCTTGCATAAGCAGACGGACATTCTTCTCCTCGTACATATCAGGGTCGGCGTGGTGGAAGAGACGCCTGATTTCTACCATAAAAATGGTAACATTTTCATTGGGCACCTGCATCCGCGTCTCCGGCAACGCAGCGGCCTTCCATTTTTGAGCGACACTTGTGAATGTTTGCAAGAATGCGCCGCCGCAAAGATCCCACGTTTGAAGCGCAGACTCTGTAATCTCAAATCACGTCCTCGCCGCGTCTTCCAGGTAAAAGTAGACGCGACTGAGCTTCTTTTCCGTGATCCAGCAGTTGAGGGCGTTCACTCTGTCGTAGGTTTCTAGCCAGGTTTCCGGAACTTCAAACGATGATCCATGAAAAATCAGTGGTTCCTTTGGCTGCTCCATCGCGATCGCGGGCTGTCGCGCAGCAGTCATCATCGTTGCTGTGGGTCGAGACCTTGGCCTTAGTCTTCCGAGCCTTGTCTAGCAGAAGCCCGTACTCTGGAGGTAAACCCTGCTGCCGGCGGCTTGTTCAGTGCTTGTGGTTGGCGTCGGTGTCTGCTTCGCAACGTGAGCTGGGCTCATTACTTGACGGGGTTGTCTGGTACATGAACGAAGAAGCACCTCCACCAGATGTCATGGGGTTGTGACGTGAATAAATGAAGCAGACTCTACGTCAAGAAGAAACTGTTTATTTGGGCCTAACTTGTTGCCACGCAAAAAGAAAGTAAGACACTGACACAGCGGCGAATAGAGCGTCGGCCGCCGATCAACTCACAAGAGGCGAAGCGTGTCGTCATTTATACCCTTGCCATCGAATCTTCTAGCGTTATCGCTAGCAGCGACGTAGGTTTTCGAATATTCTGTGATGTGCCTAAAGTGGGCGTAATCTTTTCAAAACAATCTACTAAAGCCTCGAGATTTCTTGAACATCGTAGGCGCGGTTTGCGGGGAACATAGTGTAACGGGTTGATACCAGAACTTGAGGAAAGGTACGTGGAAATATAATACTTCTGTGTACCACACTGCATATCTGACAAAAAGAAACATATTGTTTTTTTTTTCATTTCTCATTAGTTACAAAAAAAACTCACCAGTCCTCCTATGAATTCACCCGAGACGACTTGCTTGTTTGTTTGTAGCCTGGAATCCATGAGACATACTCACGCTGGGTATTTGCTATGGGTATGTGCCAAGAAAACATATAGAATCCTATAGACGATAACTACACTATTTCTTACAAAGAAAGAATAGAAAAGGATGTAGGAATACATTATAAAAGAACAAAGATTCAGACAGTGAGAAAAACATTAAATACTCACTAATATATTACCTATACCTTAATTTTGGGAGCCGACCAGACAGCTGAGTGTGCCATACGCGGTCAATTTGCGATATATTTCTCATATTTACTGACATTTCGAAAATTTCTTCCTGACTTTTCTTTTACTTTTCAGTGTTTGTTACAGTGAGCCTTATGTTGAAATACGTTTAGTGTCTGGCCTGAAATCGCACACCGAATCAAATACAACTCTGTGGTGATTTCCCAAAACGGAGACACCAAAATTTGAAACAGTTTCTGTGGTTAAGCTTAAACCTAGCTTCGCAAACGGAATAGCCAAGTCTTTTCCTAATTACTGCGTAGTTACGACATCAGACGAAATAATGCTTCATAGTTTTCAATTATTCGCAGAACGGGCAAAACTAAGAGTGTCAGGCCAGCTCTGTGTAAAAAAAGTTAATAGGGGAACAGAGAACCGGCATCTGAAGATAATAATTGCTTTTCGACAGACTCCGTTTACATTTCTATAAAAATTTAGACGACTGAAAGGCAAATACTATCCTCGTTTTCTTCCTATTCAATGCACTAAATGTTTTCTACTTCCCTCTAGAATATTTCTGCGCCCAACATGGTTTAATTACTGCCTCAAGGATTGGAGACAAAGCTAGCTTTCAGCCCCTCCGCTGGTTATGCATTGCTCTTATAATCAGCCCATTTCAATCAAGCGAAGATGTTATATGATGCCGTCAAGTTATGTGACCTTTCGATATGTTATATGTAACGTCAAACGATGACATTTACACGTAATGATAATTTCTTGCATCACTTGTGTTCACGCCACTGACGCGAGAAGACGCCAGACGTCACCGGTGATCAATTTTCGTTTTTGATGATACATTTAAAGCTATCACCCTAATGCACTGCACGGCTGTAACTCCGTGAAATCGCGGCTTTCACTGGTGATCGGGGGAGCGTGCGTACAGTTATCAGGCAGAACAATGGGTATCCTAACGAATATTCGTACTACGCTCTAATATGTAGCCGTCATTAACACACGAGCATTTTATAGATTATGAGTTGTGGTGGCTGAAGACTACTTGTCACGTTTGGCAACATGGCAAATTGAATGCCTAAACGGGAGCGCGGTGCATCCGAACAGTCAACAAATTAGTCTATCAGTAGTAAGGCTGCGGTGTGCAACGCTAACATTACGCACCGAACCTTGCCAGGGCCAAGAGCGCAGTAGAAGCCAGAGGATTCCTGGGCTAAGGAGCCCTCCCACCTCAGGGTGACACTGGGCATTGCTTGGGGCACTGTTTAGAAAATAAACGTTAACTTCTCTCTCTCTAGCCCATGGGCACCACACAGGCATTTGGCCTCTACCCTGCTCGATACCGAATTAAGATACCAGAGTGAAGCAGAAAGCAAAAAAGCTGAGCAGCCAGATAATAAAGCTACAACAATTCGCCCACGAATACCAAGAGAAGCTCAAGCAACTGACCACAGGCCGCATTTTTCATGCTTGTTAACTTGGCTCCAGTTGACAGTCGGCATTAGACTTCAGACTTCAACAGCGCCTGTTCAAAACACAGGCAACGACCGCAGAAATCGTGCTGCATATGGAGCTGTTTTTGTTTATTTCACGATGATCTCATTGTTTAAGCTCTCAAATGGTGAAACCACCTGCCATAGTCTCTCATTTTCTGACACTTGCTTTTTCTCGGTGGCAACACATGTCAGCCTTTGCGAAGGGAACGGATGATGACCCATATCCTAGGAAGCAGTCTAGTTACATTTTGTGCTATTTAGTGCATGAACTGCTGGCTTGCACATAATGTGCTACACCCCTAGATATTAGCAAGCATCGGGGAACACTAGGTATTCAAGCTTTTAATACTAGCTACGGGCAAAGGCTTCTCTCAAAAACCGAATTTCAGTTCGTCAAAAAAGCAACTCTCAGTCTAGCCAACGCTACGGTGACAAAACGATCTTCCACGGATTACTTGGATGAGCCATCTGGTATCGGCCTAGCTAGCAGACGATGCGCGAGCGCCTCGTACAAGCAGTTCTAAATGACTCAAGCCTTTGAAATGACCTGAGTGCCCAAAACAACAACTGATTCACGATTATCACTTCCAAGTATTCATTACACTTTAAGCAATGCGATTACAGCCGAAAACTAAGTTGTTCAGCAGCTTAGAATGCAGCCGCGGGATTCGTTTGCGCGAGAGACAACGCGGCGGCATATCTACTCCAGTTGCGGTGCCTGGCGGTGAAACACCGCACTAGCACCGATGGTAGCTTCCAATTGAAATCCGCTCTTTCACCGCGGACCTGAAAAATAGAGGACGCGCTGGCCGGAGCATGTCCCAAAACGACTGGCGCCGAGTTAAGCTGCTGTCAAAGCGCAAGTGTTCAAGCTTTGGCAACCGCGCGCCAAAGTCACGTTGAGGTCGTAGCGTGTCCGTTGCCCAGGTCGTTGGTGGGTCGCCATCAGCGGCTGTAGGTAGATGCGCCGTTGAAGGTATTGCGTAAAGCTTGAGCTTAACCATGTGATGCAGGTCCAAAGCACTGGTAGGAGCGTCTTCATATTCTATGAACGAATTGCAGTCTTCATCCACTTGCTCGTCGGTCAGAACATTTTCCACCTCGGTGTTCAGAATGGCTAATTCTGTCGGGACCGCTTTTAGCTGGCTCTGGAGGACGTGAAACATCGAGTGGTCAAACTGTGTAGGCTGGAATAGCTTGTCACTTGTACTCTGGGGCTCGGCGAGACGCCCGCCTGTTCTTGACACGCTCCATGACAGTGTGTTAGCAGAAACACACCCCAGATCGGAAGCAATCCCTCGGGAAGATAAAGGTCGGCTTCCCGAGTCTTCGGCCCCCAAAACGATGTTGAGAAATCTCTGGAGTATATATTGGCGCTCATCTCAGTGCTGTCCACAATAAGGTGTCAAGTCAGGTTCCTTGAATATGTGGCGAACACCCACGCTGGGGGATTGGCTAACAACCGGATGCGTACATTCGAAGAGCCGAAGAACTAACAAGCCTCGGCCCCAGTAACCTTCTTATTCTTTGCAGTCCGTGTCACGCACAATTTTCGAAAGTCTTAAAGCAGGATCAACTCAGGGTTTTCAAAATAACTGTCAAATAAATTGCTGAAGTAAACGATCCAGCGACTTCGTTAGCGTTCCTCGTCGAACGCAGCATATCGGGTGCACGGAGGGGTATTGTCCGCCGGGCCCCCGAAGTGAAGAGTAGGTTGCTTAGTCGCCAGTAGTCGATGGCCTTCGTGCGAACCAGGGGCGAAGTGTGGCTGTGTTTTCAGGTTTTAAGCTCGCAGCAGGGATAATGTAGGAGAAGGAGCGGTATGGCAAAAAGGACAAAGCGGCAATTAGAGTGGGGAAGAAAAGGTGCCGGGTAAACAAGAGGCCGCTTGTCCGCCAGAGATGCTTCAATGAGCCAAGTGACAGATATTCTCGAAATTTCGGAAAAACATGTGGTGCTCAAAACATGTGGCCCCCTCAGGTCCCTAATGAAGCAATTAAGCAGTTTCGAAACTCTGTGACGCAAGTAGGTTGGTCTTCTGCAAACACCAACGAAAGATAAGGTAAGCTCGTGCAACCTGTATGCGTTAAAATATAAACAAGAGGCTCATGTCTCCAGTTTTGTTGTGTGTCACTTATCCGCTACTATCCGAAAACGACAGAAATTAGGGGAGAGTCTGAAAGGATCCGGAATTTCAGAACTCGGGGTGCCACAGGGGCAGTGGTACATTCATGCGGTAAAAGGTTCTACCCGTGCACCCCCCGCCCCCTCCTGTTTTAACGTGTACAGCAGCAAATGAACATCATAACCATGATATTCCTGATATAGAGTTCTTCCCTCGAGAGAGTTCTTCCACGTTATGGCACACCATGAGAATTCTTGCACTTCGGCAAATGAGTACTCTTATGAATTGCTATCGAAATACATAAAAAAACACAAAGGGGGTTGTAAAAATAGGCAAGAACTTCTTGAATATCAAAATGACTTGTTTTGCGGCGAGTTGATGCATACTTGCTGCAGATGACTGATGCGCAAAAAAAAATCGTGGAAGGGTCAGAGCAGACGAGAAGAAATAAAAGCGCCAACTACTTACCAACTGCTTAAGGACAGTCTAAGAAACGTACAGAAAAAAAAGAACAGAATTCCACGCATGCGTGCACAGCCAACGAATAGCACCCATTTATGTGACGTCTTTTTATAGTGCTTTGACCATGCACTAAAGCGCGTTTTATTTCGATAGCAATTATATGAACACTCGGCTAGATTGCGCCGCTGGTGTCAGCGTCGATGTTATGCACCTTATACGTATTAATATATATGAAAACGCAACAAAAAAACCTGTACCTGTGAATACGTTTTGGGCGTCATTTGTGCGTGAGGAACGCGGGGCACGTTGCGATTTGCTTGTCATTCTGTGCATGACCTTCCAATTTGTTGCTATGGCGTTCATTGATTCGCCTTGCGGCAAAGCGTCGACTTTTTTTCTTCATCTCGTTTGAATATGCCTAAAGTGTTTTGATATGTCGACGACTTTTTAAATGTGATTCACAATAAATGCCCTTTTTATTGCCCTGTGAAGGTTGAGTAGGTTATAGATATTTTTAGAGCAAACGCTAAGGAGCTCACGCTCCCTATTGAACTTCCGAAATACAGCTGCTGTTTTGTTTTTGGACCTTAACTTGACGATTTTGGGGGATCATGTATTTTTTACTACCCCCCACATAGTAAGAATGAATTGTTAATGTATGACTCACTGTATTCAAAGACTGTGAAGCGTGGAATCGCTCTGTTTTGCTTAGATTTGGTACAAGGCAGATAATGTGAGCATGTTATGCTGGTTAGCTT